AGGTAATTTCTTCTGAGGACATTTTGCTTTTGCGACAATTCGCCTAACCGATGTTTCACTCCTCTTCATGGCCAGACCAGAGGTTCGGTCGTGACATAGGAGTGAAACTCCGTGCTTGGTTGAGCATAAATCCCAGCTTAGGCCTAAGCATCAACCTCAGTTTAGGCCTAGTCAGTAAACTCAAACTAGACCTGAGCATCAACTTCACAGGGAAAGATCACGAACTTTCGGACGTGTTCTATATAATGTAAATTGAAGAAAATCAAGTACATAATGAATGCCCAACAAAGCCAAGAAAATAAATAATTTCTAGTTACAAATATTCTATGCGAAATAAACAACCCCAAGAACTTCCGAATGTAGTGTTAAGAGCTTCGGACAACTCCTGAATGCTTAGAAATAATGCTCTCGGATGCGCGAAGTGTAAATCAGGCAAAATGTCGCTGAGCAGAATGGTTGGACACGTTAATTACAGCCTTGGGTGCGAGGGAGCGTATGTAATCCGATTGATCAGACGTCATCGGTAAATCAATCCGATCAAAACCAGCAGATTACGGCGCAAAATCGAGGACGATCTGTAGAAACTCGAGACAAATCCAGAGGCCGTCAGAAAATGTGTACTGGAGAAAAATTGCAATCTACGGTTAGTCATCGAATTCCTTCCATTGAAATAAATGGTTTATGCATGTCTTTCACAATATTTCCTGGATTATTCGATTGATAATGCAACTTTGTAAGAAGTTGAAGAACGTCTGCGACAAAGAATTACAGCTGATGAATGGAATTGTTAATTACAGCCCTCTGAACGAAGGAGTGCGAGTATTCCAATTAATCAGGCGTCATCATTGGATCAACCGTCAAGGAACCAGCAGTTCACCGCGCAAAGTCAAGAACCATCTGCGCAAACTCAGTACCGACCCACGCAAGGTCAAAATATGTGCGTAGCAGAGCGATTGCCATCATCAGTAGGTCATCTAACATCTTCAAACAATGCCCTGACTCCTGCTGTGAATCAGCAAGCGCATACGGAGATTAACGAAGGAACCGCTGATGACTTGAAGGAATTTCATGAAAGAACAGCCATGAAATTACAGCCGCTGGTTACGGTAGAGCTGTTTCATATACTCGCTCGCTAATACTTGAAATAATGCTTTTCAAATGAACTCATTCGACCCAGTGTAGGTATTTGTCATGACATGACGGATGTAAAATCTCTTCAGACTAATGGAAAGAGGAGTTCGAAAAAAGCTCTGGGTATTTCTCAAAATGATTCTTGCAAGGTGGGAATGGAAGATGTGTTGGATTTGATTGCTTGTTAGGAATCAAAAGACATCTGGAATTTTGAAATGTGATCAATCAGTTGGAATAAGCAATTAAGATGTGATGACCCTAAATTGTTTCTGAGGTCGTACTGATGAGATTAACGTGGAATATTTTGAGGCTCCGAAAATGAAGACTGATTCAGTGGACAGCACAAAACAGTTAACTGAAGTTCAAGGTGAAACGGAATGCACTGCTGCTACATCGCTTGATTTGATTGCTCAGTTTTTGTGCGAATGTTTGAAGATGGTGCAATCACATCGAAAAGAATGTCAAGAAGCAATTGAATTGTATGTTGCTTTTGCTAATGCTTCAAACATACGAAGAGGAATGAGAAAACTTATTAGGGGAACGAAAAACGGAATTGTTTAACGCGGCCAATTTGGGGAGTTGAACAGAAACGATTCCATTTAAGTCTGCTGAATCTATTGCGCATTCAATAGCGCATAACAGCCGATCTAAAATTTTGTCCAATTGCAGCCTGAATAAGTCTTCAATGATTGCCGTGATGAGATGCCATAGAATACAACAAATGGATGCTAGGGAACGACATGCGAAAATACTGTCAGAATTTGCTGCCAACCACCAAAAGGTTTAGTCTGCAGCAATTTTAAAAGGAAAACCAAATTTTCTCTGAAAAGCGGTGAAAGTCATTAATGCAGTAAATTTTTAATGCAGATGAATAATTCAGCCTCGGTTATGCTCAAAACAATGTTACTTGTCATTTCAGGGGTGTTATAAATCACGTTATACTTATGGAGAGACGTCGAGAATCTTAGGGANTTCGTTCTTATTTGGTGGGTTGTCACAGCAGATCCGTCATGTCCATAGTGTTCCATGCTTTATACTGTTCATTTCTGATCAGATTTCTGCCACTAATCAATTACTGATTGAATAAGCAGTGAGCATCATCGTCAGATAATCGCCATGAATTGTTCGACAAAGAATGATTCTCTATCGCAAGAATATACCGATCACATACGTATGCTTCCATTCGATTCTAAAAACATGTGAATCTTTCAGGCATTCTATTTGAGTTGCATCTACGATTGCAATGAGAACGGTATCAAAGGAGAGGAAGAGCAGGTCATGAAGGAACTGCAAATGAATGATAGGGAATTCGATGAGAACGTGGTTTTGTCCAAGGAAACATTGTCAATTTTGGATCTGTATTCTCCGGATCGTATAGTGACAAAAAATCAAGTACCGCCAGCAACATGTGTGCAATCCTCCGAAAAAACTCACAATATGAGCTTCAAGACAGAAAGTCCGGAACTGAACGATAAGCAACCATCTGTAGTGGTGCAGAAATCATCAGTGAATTTGGGATCGCCGATACAGGTTAGATTGAGTTTGAAATTCTTCTTTACGCATTGCCAAAGTAAGTGCCCGGAGAGTGAAACTGAGGATTCAATCGATCATCAAGAGTATGATTTGGAGGGACGACCTGCCGTAAAGTCAATTTGCTGCAATATATTCGTTGCATTCGACAAGTTTTCTCGACTCGACATTGACTGCAGAATTGTAGATGAGTACACTGATTGCTAAATGCTTATACCATTTTCAGGAAAAAAACAATAGTTCGAATGAAGCGAACAAAGAAATGAATTCAATGAAACTGACACAGTCTGATTCAGCTAATACCAAACAACCGAAGACAGCAATTGCGTTCATTGTCAAGCAGTTGGAAGAAAGGAGAGATCTTTATCAGAAACACCGTCAAGAGGCAAATGCCACAAAACTACTTAGGTATTTTTAATCTTTTTGAATATCACTACATTTATCGCTATTTAATGCATCTGTTAGTTTTTCGATGAGTACTTTTAATGATCTTAGTGCTTTAATTCAATAATACCAATGCAGTTTTAAAATTCACAGCGCAAAGCAGTTACTCTCGACGCAGCAGTGGGCGATTGAAGGAAATCA